GGACACGGGGCGGTCACCGTGACTCACCGGGACCCCCCCCAAACCGCGACACCGGGGACACCCCCGGGACCTCTCGGTGTCCCCGATCGGATACCGGGACCCCCCGCTCCTACTCTGGGCACTGCCCACCGGGACACCGGGGAGCAGCCGGAGTGTCCCGGTGCTACCCCCGTGTCCCCTCCCGAGCTCCCCACCGGACACCGGGGACCCCCCCGGTTCTGTTCCGGGACCCTCCCGTCAGGGTCGCCCTTTTCATTCCCGAGTGACCCCCCCCAAACACCGGGAACCCCCGGGTCCTGCCCCGAGTCCCCTCCGTGTCCTCCCCAAACACCGGGAACGTCGCGGGACTCCCCCCAAAACACCGGGGACACCTCGAGATCCCCCCCCGGGTCCCCTCCCCGGTGTCCCCCACAAACACCGGGGGGGCCCCGCCGAGGCTCCCCCCTCCTCCCCACCCTCAGGGCCCGGCGCCGCGGTGGCGCGTGCCGCTCTAATGATACTAATTACAATTACAATCGCTAATTGGGCGCGGGGCCCCGCGGCAGCGAAGCGGGGGAGGGGACACTGAGGGTGAAGGGGGGGACACACCCAGGTCACCCCCCCGTGTCCCCGCCCCGGCCCGGCCCTGCCTCAGTTTCCCCACCCGGGAAGGGGCAAAGGTGAACGGGAGGAGGGCCCCACCCATGGCGGTTGGGGGACCAGGGGATGGCACCGCCACCCCAGTGTCGCCTCCTTGTCGCCAGGGTGTGCCAGTCGCCCTCGGGAGGGGCCCTGGCCTATCCCCACAGCGCTATTTGTCCCGGATTGTCCCCGCTGTCCCTCCTATTGTCCCCAGGCTCCTCCCATTGTCCTCACCCCATCATGTCCCCACACTGCCCCCCCCCAACCCCAACGCCCCCCCCGGCAAACTCCCTCAATCAACCCCACCCCGCCGCTCTCCCTTTCCTCACAGAACCCTCCCCACCCCCCGTCCCCACCCTTCTCTCCTCACCCCTTCCCTCAGTCTCTAAAACGCCCCAAAAAAACCCAAAATCCCCACCCAGGCCCCCCCTTTCTGCCCTCAGTTAAGATGGCGGCGCCCCCGCCTCACGTTTTCCAAGATGGCGCCCGCGCCGCCACGCGGCCCGCCCTGCCAGGCTGCCCTCACCCAAGATGGCCCCCGCCCCATGCCAACCAATGGCTATGAAGCCAACCGCAATAACCCGGATGTATCCGCCATCTTGCCCTCATCCAACATGGCACCGCCCTCCCCGTGTTTCCCTATGGGCGTGAAGCCGTGGTGCCCGGATGTGGGCGCGGCTTCACGGTGGAGACGGGGCGTGGCATCGGCCTGCCGGAAGTTGCGTCAGAGCGGAGCCGCCCGCGGGGAGCGGGGAGCGGAGCGGACGGAGCCAAGATGGCGGCGCCGGGGCTGTGCCGGCCCTAAGGGGCCGGGAGGGGCCCCCGTGCTCGGCGGGCTGGGACGGGCCGCAGGGGGGGCCCCGCCGCTCCCCTCGCCGCTCCTCGAGACGCTGCCGCCGCCGGAACCTCCCCGGGGCCTGACCGGAGCCTCCCCGGGGGAGAAGCGGGGCCTGCTCGGGGCCTTTCGCGGCCTTACCGGGGCCTCCCCGCGGCCTTTCGGGGCTCGGCGGCGCCGTCTTTGGCCTCCCCGGGGCTCGGCGGCGCCTTTCGCGGCCTTACCGGGGCTTGACCGGAGCTTTTTGAGGTCGGACCGGGCCCTTCTCGAGGCCTCCGGGCCCTGACCGGGGCTGAACCGGCGCCTTTCGGGCTCCAACCGGGGCTGAACCGGGGCTTTAAAGGCCTTTAACGGGAAGAGCCCCACGGTTCCCCCTGTTTTGGTTCTTTATCCCCGGAATTTGGGGCCGATTTCAGCCGAAATCGCGGCCAAATCGGAGCTTTTTTTGTTTTGTGTTTTTCTTATTTCACAGCGGCGCTTTTCCCGTTTTTTTTTTTTTTTTGGTTTTTTTTTTTCCTCCGGGATTTCGGCTCCTCCTGAGGGTCAGAGAATCCCGGCATTTGAGGCGCAGGAGGAGCGGGATGAAATTCCAAGGATTTCTTCACTCGAGCGAGGTTTTTTTGGCTTTTTTCTTGCGGTTTTTGCTTTGAGCGAGCCCAGGATCGCCCAAATCCGCGAGAAATCCGGGATCCAGGGAATTCCTCCCTCGGGAATGGTGTCCCTGGAACCGGGAATGACTTAAGGGCAACGCTGTGTTTGGCTTTTCCTCGGTAAATTATTCTTTAGCAAGTTTAAAAAAAAAAAAAAAAAAAAAAAAAAGGATTTTTTTGGGGGGAAAAATCCGGTGTTTTCCGGCAAGGACTGACAGCGATCCCGGCCTCTGGAATTGCGGCCGCCGGTGGAACTTTGGGAGCCTCCGCGGGGGATTTTTGGGGAGTTTAATTTAAAAAAAAAAAAAAAAAATCAAGGACAAGGAGAAAAGGGGATCGAAGATTGCTGAGAAACGCTCGGGATCCAGGCACGGCTGGGATCGCTCCTGGCTGAGGTGGGTGTGCAGGGATTTGGGATTCCGGGATTTGGGGGGATTTATTCGGGAGCTTGGGATGGATCCAGAGGCTCCTGATGGACCCAGGGAGGTTTGGGATTGGTCCAGGGAGCCTCCAAATGGATCTGGAGAGGCTCAGGATGGATCCTGGGAGGGATCCAGAGGGTCCTGATGGATCCAAGGAGGTTTGGGATGGATCCAGAGGGTCCTGATGGATCCAGGAGGGGCTCGGGATGGATCCTGGGAGGGATCCAGAGGGTCCTGATGGATCCAAGGAGGTTTGGGATGGATCCAGAGGGTCCTGATGGATTCAGGAGGGGCTCGGGATGGATCCTGGGGAGCTCAGGATGGATCCAGGGAAGTTTGGGATGGATCCAGAAGATCCTGGCAGATCTGGAGAGGCTTGGGATGGATCCTGAGAGGGATCCAGAGGGTCCTGAGGGATCCAGGAAGGCTCAGGATGGATCTGGAGAGAGTCAGGATTAATCCAGGGAGGTTCAGGGTGGATCCAAGGAGGTTTGGGATGGATCTGGAGAGGCTCAAGATGGATTCTGGGGAGTCTGGGGTGGATCCAGGGATGTTCAGGATGGACCCAGAGGGTCCTGATGGATCCAGGAAGAGTCAGGATTAATCCAGGGAGGCTCAGGATGGATCCAGGAGTTGGGGATGGATCCCAAGGAGTTCCCTCCTGGAGCCTCCCAGCTCGAACCCCTCCCTGCTCCAGCCAATTATCCCGGCTGGCGCTAATTATTCCCACCCAGAGAGCTCCGGGGATTTTGGGAATCCTCGGGAATCCCTTGGAATTCGGGGCTGGAAGGACGTTTTGGGATCCATTTGGATTATTATTATATAGGATGGATTAAAGCTGAAGCCACTCAGGAATAAAATTTCCACATTCCCAGCAGATTCCAGGGGTAGGAATTCCCAAATTCCCCAATTCCAGCCCCAAACGGCCCCAGTTTTCCATGGGGCTCCTTTTCCTTCAGGATATTTTGTCAGGAGCTTCCTTCTCTTGCTCCCTTCCCAGCCTCCTTTTCTTCCTGGAAAATCCAATTTATTTGGGCTGGGAATGGATTTTTGGGAATTCCTGCTGGATTTAGGAGGGGGAATCCCCCCCCCCCCCAAAAAAAAAAGTGGAAAATTCAGGATCAATCCCAATTTTGGGTTTTTTTTTTCCCCAATTGTTTGGGAATTGTTCCTATCCCTGGGATCCAAAATTCCTGCTGGGAACTGGGAGGGAAAAGTTCACCTGGAGTCTCTCCCTCGTGTCCATTTCCCCTGGAAAATTCACCTGAAAATTGGGATTTGGGTCTTTTCTCCCCACCCGGGCCGGGATTTTTTGGGATAATGTGGAATTCTCACGGTTTTGGCCTGAATTTAGTGGGAAAAATCCCCAAATATCCGCAGGGATCCCATTGGGGCTGAGCCCTGGGAAGCCCCAGGAACTCGTTTTTCCCGTTGATCCCGAAATTATTTGAATGTTCCCGGAATTCTCTTCCTGGGAAAAGCCTCCGGAGTGGGTGGGGAGGGGGGGATTTTCCAAAGGATTTCGGGATCTTTGGGGTTTTTTTCTGGGAGATTTTCTTGCTCCCTATTGAGGAAAATCCATGGATTTTGGGGATTTTTGGGATTTCCACCTCCCCACCCCTGTGGATTTCAGGATTTTGGGAGCCGTGGGAATCTCGGGATCTCCTCCACGGCTGGAATTCCCCGCTTGGAAGTGAATTTAACAATTTTTGTGGATTTTTTGGGAAGCTTGATCCCAAAACTCCCCTTTGCCAGGGGTCAGCACTTCCATAAAACCTCAATTTTCCTGGATTTCTTGGGATTTTCAGGCAGCACGACACCAAATTCCTGCTTTTTTTTCTGGCTTCCACGGGAGGAAAACGATCCAGGATCATTCCAGAGGGGTTGGTGCTGAAGAATCCAAGGATTTTCCCCGATTTTTGTACAATTCGACACCCAAATTTGGGGGAAAAGGGGACATTTTAAGGAAAACTCCCTAAAAAACAGCGGGATCACAGCACCAGGTGCTTCCCATTCCCATTCCCCCCCTGGAGCTGGGGCCAGGTTGTTTTTTTCCAGGGATTTTATGGGAATTTCCTCCTTGGAGAGAGCTGGGAATTGGGGATGGGTGGGGGGTTCCTGTCGTGATCCCGATGTTTTCCCGGTGTTTTGGAGACCGTATCCAGGGAAAGGCTGGAGCCAGGGCTGAGGAGTGGGGATGGATCCCAATGGAAAATCCCAGGGATTGGGGTCAGGATCCCAATGGAAAATCCCAGGGATTGGGGTTGGGATTCCACTGAAAAAAACCAGGGATTTGGGTCAGGATCCCAATGGAAAATCCCTGGGATTGTGGTTGGGATCCTGACAGAAAATCCCTGGGATTTGGGTCAGGATCCTTGGTGGATCACACAGGAAAATCCCTGGAATTGGGGTTGCAATCCTGACAGAAAATCCCTGGGATTGGGGTAAAGATCCCAAGAGAACATCCCCGGGATTGGGGTCAGGATCCCAACGGAAAATCCCAGAGATTGGGGTCAGGATCCTGAGTGAATCCTGCTGGAAAACCCCCAGGGATTGATTTGGGTTGGGATCCCACTGGAATCCCCAGAGATTTGGATCAGGATCCTGAGTGAATCCCACTGAAAAATTGGGATTTGGGTCAGGATCCTCACTGGATTCCCATGGAAAATCCCCGGGATTGGAGTCAGGATCCCGAGTGGATCCTGCTGGAAAACCCCAAGGGATTGGGGTCGGGATCCTCACTGGATTCCCATGGAAAATCCCCGGGACTGGGGTCAGGATCCCATCCAGGAGCCCCTGATCCCAGGAATTCCCGAGGGATGGGATTTTCAGGATGCATCCCTGCAGTGTGGGGCACTGAGATCCCTCTGGGTCCCCATTTTCGGCCGGGATACAGCGATGTCCCCGTGTCCCACTGTCCCTATGTCCCATTGACCCCACTGACCCCGTGTCCCACTGTCCCCGTGTCCCATTGACCCCACTGACCCAGTGTCCCACTGTCCCC